AATGCTCACCTTGGATTCTACTACTAACCACTATCCTTCATTAATTGTTGAGTTAACCGTTCAAGTCTCAGTTACTATATTTTCACTTATACACCATTTACTGATCTTTAAAACTTTATTCCCTCTATTATAACTCTGAACAAGTTTATCGACTGTTTTCCAGTACATGCTTTTTTGCTCCTGTATTTGTGTGTGTGTGTGTGTGTGCAATCTTTGCGTAATCTGTCGACGATGTTTAAAAGCAGGAAGGACAGACTTGTATTACAGCTATTTATATCACTTATTATCTCTTGGAGATATGAGTAAAGCGCTTCAGTTAATTAGTATATCTTCTGGCTGTACTACATATTTCATTATTATTTTGTACTCTATGTTTATATAGCGTTTAATAACTTCGTTTCCCTTTCTTTCTTTTCTATCTATTTCCTGGACTCTGCATTTTTTTTTCTTCCAAAAAGTTTTTCCATTGATATAAACAAGTATTTTCTAGAATCTGTATATCCTTAGAATAGAAGGATTCTGGATGTCTTACTCTTCTTAGTTAGATAATAATTTTTGCATATTTTTAGAATAGTATTCATCATGGAACTGATATCATTTAGAGAACCACTAGATATTAGGTGTTTTATTCGAGTATATGACTTCTCAGTAGTATCCACCTACAATCATACCTTGGTAGGAATCGAACTCAGGTTTCACATTGAACGATCTAGCCATTGGATCAGTATTCAATGGTTCACAGTCTCTTACTTGTATTGATTCATGATGTAGAGCAATTATTTATCAAAGTCTTCATTCAGTTGGTGTCTATTTCACTTCAGATTGGTTGACTCCATAAGTCACAACTTCTCACTAGGAATTTGAGATATCCATCTTGAGGCATATGTCACTATTGAGCATTATACAGTAACATAGTTTAAGGTTTATAGATGCATACTACTGAGGAGCTCCATAGGAATACGTAACAGCTGTCTAGTGTTCTCTGGCTCACAGCAATTCTCCTAATGATGTCAGTCAGTGATAGTTCCGAACATAAAAATAGAATTCTGATTGACTTTAAATTACATTTTTTTTTTGTATACTTAGGATAGCTGTAATTAAATAATTGCAGGTATTTATCTCTTTCAGAAAGAATTGTTACGTAACTGACTATAGGTGATGAGAATATTGAAGACATAATGTATAAGGTTGCAGATTACCGATGATTGTTGTATTGTGTTACGTTTATAAAGTATTCAACTATTCATCTGAGTGATATAGTGTGTTGTTGCACCCTTTTCCGATTGAAACGCTACGTACCATGTACCGAAGTTGCTGTCAGTGCCTTAGGTGTTGTTTTTCTTCTTAAGATACTAAGTACCTTGGATATATCGCTCAGATTGTGTCTTTTTTCATTGGTTTATTCTATTCAACTTCATCATGGATGTTCTTATGGAGGTCACACTCTCGTCATCTACATACACAGCAATTGACCTAATCACAGAAAAATTTCCAGTTTACTTAGAATATGCAGATGACGTAGTCCTGTTAGATGAAGACGCCAACAATATACAGAGTCTCATAGACACCTTGAATGACAATTTGACAATGTTTGGAATGAATTTCTCGCCACACAAATGCAAATTGTTGCTCCAGGATTGGTCTTCAACGGTGCCACGGCTAACAATAGAGAGTGAAGTGTTCGAGTGTGTTGACCACTTCTCTGACTTGGGAAGTAGTATCATCCTCGGTGCATTGGTCAGTGGCCGACGAAATCTCTACACGAATACAAAAGACTTGTGTGAGTTTTTCCGCCTGACGCCACTTGTGTCGCCACCGTGAAACCCGATTGTGTATTAAGGGTGGGGTGTGTACTGGACAGCAGTTCGCTCTATTCTACTGTATGGCTGTGAAAGATGGCCATTGAGTGTGGAAGAGATGAGAAGTCTGGCTTGAGGTGTTTGACCACCATTGCCTTTGTGGTACATGCTGCGTTTTGTGTTGTCATCACGTGGGTAACGCAGAAGTGAGACGACAAGTTTTAGGGAGAGAGAGAGAGAGAGAGAAGGTAAGTCAGTTAACGACATTGTGAACCTTGATTGACTGAGATGGGTGGTTGAGATTGGACATGTGTTACGTATGCCTAGTCACCGATTGGCTGGTCAGATAATGTTGGCTGAAGTAGGTTCAGTCTGGAATAGGGTTTGGTGTGGTCAGAGTAAAACATGTGTGAAGTGTGACTGTTGGTTTGAGGTATGTAATTCAATGCGTAGTAGGCTGTTGAGGTCCTGATGACTAGAGAAACCAGTGGTTGGAGACTCAGAACTAGATGTATACACACATTACTCTCATCTTAACCACTATACTTAGTCACATCATTTTCTCATTCTTCCCTCTCTTTTACTACTTCCTACTTCTTTGGATCGATTTTTCTTCCTTCTTCATCTCTCATTTTATTACTTTGTCACTTGATGTATTGATATGAGATGTGGCAACTTGGACTGTTACACAGTAATGTCTGATCCTATGTTCCTAATATCATAATATTTCTGTTTGCCTTTTGTGCATTGACTAGTCTTCTTTATCATGTTATAAATTCTAATGTTGAGTGAATATTAGGCTAAGTTCTTTTTTATTGCAGTCATCAAGCAACTTTGCAATGTAGTTTGGTTACTAATTTTTATCTGCAAGTTCTTTATATGGAACACCGAACATTTTCTTTACAAACCTACATTGAAATCTGTTATGATTCTAAACATTTCCAAGTAATCAATCATATTTCTAATAGCTGAGTGTTATTTACTTGGTTGTGGAGACATATAGAGGCTAACTAATTTTCTATTACACTTCTGGTTGAAACTGGATGCAATCATGCTAGTAGCTTAGAGATCTGGTGTAGAGTTAAAAGGAGGAGAAGGAGAAATTCACTCGGTAAGGTTATAGACCTTTATCTGCTTAGGTAGATTAAAGGATTCGCTGGATTCAAAATTACGACGGGAACCGGACCAAATTGCAGTGCCTCTCTACGCATCATCTTAGAACAGAGTATAGAATGGCAGTCAAGTCTACGCCTCAACTTCATCGACTTTGAAAAGGCTTTCGACAGCGTCTACCGAGAAGTAATTTGGCACTTGCTTCAACACTACAGAACACCACAAACCTTTATCAATCTCATTCAATAACTATATGAAGAGGCCACATGCGAAGTAATTCACAATGGGAAGCTCAGTGATGCTTTTGAAGTGAAGTGAAGACAAGAAAAGGTAAAACAAGGTTGCCTACTATCCCCCATGATATTCCTGATTGTAGTGGACTGGATCATGCAACAAACAGTGAGGGATGAGAACAGGGGGAAACGCTGGACCGCAGAAAAGAACCCAGAATATTCGGATTTCGCCGGTGACATGTGTCTAATGTCTTCTGGCACAAACTCGAAGATGTACAATCGAAAACTAACAAGTTGACAAAAGAGGCAAGGCAGGGTAGCGAAGATGGGACCTCAAGTGAACGTAGAGAAGACAGGGAGAATTGATGAAGATACCCAACCAACACCACCAAGAACAACAAGCATCAATCACCATCAATGGGAGAAACCTGAAGGAAGTGGCCTCTTTCACCTATGTAGGCAGCACCGTTTCAACTACAGGTGGCGCACAGGCACAGACGAGGACATGAAAGCCAGCCAGGATCGGAAAAGTAAGACAGGAGTTCATTAACCTGAAACTAGTGTGGGGATCTTCTGCACTGCACTGCACTTCACTCAGCATACAGTGTGAACAACATCCGGATTTTCAACACTAATTCAGTGAAGTCAAGTCAGTGCTTCTGTGTGATGGTTGAGAGACTTGGCGAGTTACGAAAGGCATTTCCAATAAACTACAGACATTCATCAACAACTGCCTACCCTGACTCGTTACTGAAGGTCAGATGACGAGAATAATGAGAATAAGCAAGAAGCTATCGCTGAACAAATATGGACTGGAAGGAAGTGGAGATGGACTGTATTGGGCATGCACTGAGAATATCATTCGGGGATATCACGTGCCAGGCCAGGCCAGGTCGTGGAGTGGAACCCAGATGGGAAACGGCGAGTTGGGTGTCCGAGGCTAGGATGACATGGAGGAGATGGTTTGTGTGGAAGAAATGAGAGCTTCTGGGCTGTGGTGGAGCCAGGTTGAAAAGATTTCAGAGAAGAGAGTGGAATGGAGACGTGCTACTGAATCCCTATGTTCCATTAGGAACCCAAGTGGCAAATAATAATAATCATAATCGGCTCAGGTGGTTAAAACATATGTCACATATATATCTGGTCACCATTTGCTTGATTTCACAATGTTGGCTGAATTAGGTTAGAGGTTGAGAGACTAGAAAGTGAAATGAGTCAGTGAAGTCTGAGACTGTTTTCTTGAACTGTATGGGGGAATGTAGACTTTAGCTGTATGATTCACAGTTGATGTCAATAGTACAGCTGTATTCACCCATCATCTTCATTGTAATCCCTCTGCTGAATTCAAGTATCGTTTTAACCCTTCTTACTTTCTCTTTTTTCATGAATTTCTTCTATTACTAACTCATCTGCCATTTTATTACTTACTTACTGGATGTGCTGTTATGAGGTTAAGCGAATTCTCCAATTAATACCAGGCCCCATGTTAGTATTCTCTGATTGACTGTCACAGCTACAAGTCACCAGGGTGAATACAATATAATGCATATTCTGTAGTATCAAAGCATCCACATAGGAACTTATCTACCAACATAGGTTCAGTAATTCCACCCTGTATAACAATGAGAAATTACATGGATCATTTTGTAACAACCACTTTTACTGAATATCTTCATTGTAGGCTGATTCAGTCGATGGTTTTGTATCATACCTGATTTTCTAAAATCTTTTTTTTCTCTGTTCTTTCCCAGATATAAGATTTTTGTATATTTCGCTTTTTGTGTATAATTTACTTAACACAGTTTTCCATACAAAGTTGTATTTGTTGTCATTAAAAAAAAAAAATTATTTTTAGCATCCACAGTCATCATTATCATCTGGTCTACCACCGCCTTATCCAGCGCCAAGTAACAATGGAACTATAAATCGACAAATGATAGCAAATCAACAACAGGTTTATTATCCGTCTTCAGTAACACCTGGTGGTACCTCTTTAAAACGTGAACCTCCAACTGGTGGTGGTGGCGGCGGTGTTGGTTCTTTACAAGACGGTTCTGGTTACGGTAAGTACTTTAAAGTATAAAGTAAGGAAACTCTGTTCAGTAAAACGATCACGATTAAATTGAAATGGATTATAGCATTCATACTCTCATGAGTTTGAGCCCCTTTGCGTCTACTGAGGTTTGGGCAACTAGATGGTAGTGTCACACTAGACTAGCCTACATATTATAAGTGTGGCTTATCGCCTACGCCATGGATATGTACTAGGTGGTTGAGTGCGTTTCTCTTTTTTACGTTATGAGACCGACCACCTGTCGCTACGAACCCTGCATTTTATCCTCCTTGCTTTCCTATGTCTTAATTCCTACCTCAAGTGATTACTTACGTAAAACTATAATGCCAATCACTGACAGTATTTTTTGTCAAGAAGAAAGTATGATAAATCACAGTAGTACACTGAAGTAACTATGCTGTAATGATCTCTGCTGTTTGTTCTTCTGAAATAGTTCTTAAATATAAAACATAACACTTTCTGAAGGTTGGCGATAACTAGTTTCATCGCAGAATACATATTCGGTTGTCTATTATTGGATCGAGTTTACAACACATTGATACAGATCATTTTGCCTTTTATTTTTTTATTTATTATTTTTTTATTAGTCCCTTGGGTTCCTAGTGGAACATAGGGCTTCAGTAGCACGCCTCCAGTGACCTCTGTTCTCTGAGACCTTTTGAACCTGGTCCCACGACAGCCCACAAGCTCTCATTTCCTCCTCGCACGACCTCCTCCATGTCACCCTTGGCCTTCTCAGTGTATGCCCAATCCATATCCACTTCTTCCTGCATATTTGTTGGGTGATAGGTTCTTGGTTGGTTCGTTCCCAGAGCTCCTTGTTGCTTATTCTTTCTGGCCATCTGATCTTCAGTAGCGAGTGAGCGTAAGCAGTTGTTGATGAATGTCTGTAGTTTATTGGAAATACCTTTCGTGACGCGCCAAGTCTCTGAACCATACAGGAGCACTGACTTGACTAGGTTGGTGTTGAAAATCCGTATCTTGTTCCGCATGCTGAGTGCAGAAGATCTCCACACTGGTTTCAGGCTATTGAACACCTGTCTTGCTTTTCCGATTCTGACTTTGACATCCTCGTCCGTCCCGCCTGTAGTTGAAACAGTGCTTCCTAGATAAGTGAAGGAGGTTACTTCCTTTAAGTTCCTCCTGTTGATGGTGATTGGAGTTTGTTGTTGTTGTTGATGGTGGTGGTGCGGTATCTTCATCACTTCTCTCTGTCTTCTCTATATTCACCTGAAGTCCCGTCTTAGCTGCCTCTTCTATCAACCTGTTAGTTTTTGCCTGCAGATCTTCAAGTTTATGTGACATTAGGCACAAGTCATCACAGGCGAAATCCAAGTCTTCTAGGTTCTTTTCCGTCGTCCAGCGTATCCCCCTCTTCTCGCTGCCTACTGTTTGCTGCATGATCCAGTCCACCACAATAAGGAATATCATGGGTGATAGTAGGTAACCTTGTTTCACTCCTGTCTTCACTTCAAAAGCATCACTGAGCTTCCCATTTTGCCTTACGTCTATGAAATGTTATGTCTTCTAGCTGATGGATGTCCTACGACTTTATATGTTCGATCAACGTTATCTTTGTAGGATTGTTGGCATCCGGTGATGACACCATGCTATTTATTGCTCTATTAAGCAACTTATGATTGGTTATAGTGAAGATTGTAATTGATTGAATAATATTATTGTGAAACGTCAGCTTCGGTGACTTGGAGATGTGTTAGGAAAGTCACTCACCGTTTGCTTGTTTTGGTATTGGATGTAAGAAGCGGAAAGGTGGTCTGTATATGAAGTGGATTCCGGTGATGGAAGATGAGTAAGTATTTGTTGTTGCATCTTGCGATTTTGGACTAAGGGACATACCAGTTATGCCTTATGTGCGTGACCTGGGGGCGATCATGATTTAGTTTTCTTCTTTCTTTCTCTGTCGAATAGTTAATTCATAGATTCTTTAAGACTGGAAACTTGCGAGCGGTTGGCACTTTCGACTGGCCATACAGTGGAAGGTTATCGCTTCTTAAAGTATCTGTAAGAGAAAAATATTTGAGAGACTACAGAGCCTATGGGATACCTGCTTGAGGCGTGTCACATAGAGCCTTTTGCGGGTTGTTTTGAGTGGTAGAGAGAACCCATACCGCCTGCAGCCGTAGACCCTCTCCCCATTTCCCATGCGGAGGGTGGCATCAGTATAACACTGTTGGCCATCCGAGAAAAACACGTTGTTGCTGTCACACCTCATCCCCCTAACAGCAATACGTCTTCGCCCTCAGACCTGCATCATACTGTTGTAACTTACAGTAAAATGGTAGCTGCTTTTCTACAACACACCTTTCTTGCATAGTAGGATGTCGTGGAAACAAACGTTTTAGCCAATGTAGCTCGTTTTGTTCTTTGCGATATACAAGCCCGACTACCATATCAAGGTAGCAGCTGTCTTCTGGGACTTTGAGACTAGTTAATAAAAGTTTCAGCCACTTCTTTAAAGTCTCAATACACTCCTTTTCTGTACTGCTAATCAACAGTTACTACCCTGTCATGATTGTTATGAAACTTCTACTAGAAAAAAATCCATCCTTTTATCAATTTTTACTCTTACCTCAAAAATAGGAACATTACTTCAACGTGGTGGCCCACTGACAGCTTCAATGATGACTGATCCATCACTTGGTGGAGGTGGTGGTGGTGGTAGTGTACCAATGAATGCTGTCTACTATCGAGGCAGTCAACAAGCATTGCATATGTATCCGAATGGAATGAGTACTCCACAATCACAACACCATCCAGGAGGAATTTATCAAACACATCAGCAACAACAACAAGCACTTTATATGCAACAACAATTGCAGCAGGCACAAATGTATCCTGGTTATTTCAGTCCACAACCTCAATCGCATATGGATTCTATGGGGCATGGGTGAGTTGATAGCTTTCGCTTATTACTATCATTATTATTATTTGTCCCTTGGGTTCCAAGTGGAACATAGGGATTCAGTAGCACGTCTCCATTCCACTCTCTTCTCTGAAATCTTTTCAACCTGGCTCCACCACTTCCCACAAGCTCTCATTTCCTCCACACACGATCTCCTCCATGTCATCCTAGCCTCGGATGCCAAACTCGTCGCTTCCCATCTGGGTTCCACTCCACGGCCTGGCGTGGCCTGGCACATGATATCCCCGAATGATATTCTCAGTGCATGCCCAATACAGTCCATCTCCACTTCCTTCCAGTCCATATTTGTTCAGCGATAGTTTCTTGCTTCGTTCGTTTGTTGCCAGCCAGCCAGCCAGAGTTCCTTCTTGCTTATTCTCATTATTCTCGTCATCTGATCTTCAGTAACGAGTAAGGGTAGGCAGTTGTTGATGAACGTCTGTAGTTTGTTGGAAATCCCTTTCGTAACGTGCCAAGTCTCTCAACCATCACACAGAAGCACTGACTTGACTTCACTGAATTGCTGTTGAAAATCCGGATGTTGTTCACACTTTATGCTGAGTGAAGTGCAGTGAAGTGCAGTGCAGAAGATCTCCACATTAGTTTCAGGTTAATGAACTCCTGTCTTGCTTTTCTGGGCAGCCTTGCTAGGTTCAAACAAAGTACGGATATTCCATGTCTCCATGTTTACCTTCGCTTTCATCGAAAGACACGTTGGCCAATTGGCTTCCCGAAGGCTTTCACCAACCGGCGTCATTTCGTCTCCAATTCCAGCGAGCAATAAGTTTGTTTGCTTATGCTTACATATTTACTCAGTCATTCAATTGTCGATATCAGGTCGGGTATAGAAGGCCTGTTTTGCATTTACCAACTTACGTCATCTTTGGTGCTAACTGGCAAGATACTTAATTTTCTATAAAAGGACGAGTATATTGCACTGCAGTCCGTTCTGCCCTGTTATACGGCTGTGAGACATGACGGTTAAAAGTAAAAGATATGAAACCATTACAAGATTTCTGATTCATAGATCTTTTTGTAGCACTGATCGCATCTGGTGGAACCACCGTGTAAGCAATGCTGAAGTCGGGCGAAGGGTACTAGACAAGATAGGTAAGTCGATTGGTGAGGTTGTGAACGTTAGTCGAATGAGATGGCTTGGACATGTACAGTGCATACCTAGTTGCCACCTATCTTAAGGTGACATATTAGGAGAAGTTGGATTAAGTTGACAGGGGTTCAGAGGAGCAAGACCAAGACGTGGCACTAGTCAATGAAGTCCCTGACTGTTGGTCGTAGTCATATGGGGAGAGATGTAGACTGCCTGGTTGGGATGCCTGAGACGATAAGAACCAATGATTGTGGACTCTTGGTGACATGGCTGAAAATTAGTCACAAGGGCACAGATTCATTCACCCCTTGACATTTACTAAAGCTTGAATATTTCCACTAACTGTTGTCTCCAGATTGTTTATCCTCCTCTGTTGTCACTCTTATTCTATCTATCTGTTCTATTTTTGCTACTGTAAGGTTTAGTAACTTGGATCGATACAGTTGTATGCCAGGTTCAACGTCGACTTTGTCAATTAGTCAACAACTCAATTCGTCACATGTCTACATAAGCGCACCTAATTGCCCAAGTGGAAGTGAATTGTGTTAAGTTTCAATTCTAGGACTTCCTGAAAGTTTAGTGCTTTAGTTATTCAACTATACTAACATATATCTCAGAACACAGTTTGATATATTGAGCTGTCCTAACCTCTGTTGTCATATCGTCACTAAGATTTTGATCATTTCAACCAACATTCTCAGTATCGATTTATTGTCTATTGTTCCAGTCTTCAAGAAAGGCAGGAAGTCCTCTTGTGATAACCACAGAGGAATCAATCTGACGAACATACTGTCTAAACTTCTTGGTTCTGTAATTTTTTTGACGCCTAAGTGAAGCTCGGGAACAGCAAGCTCGAGAAAACAAAGCAAGTTTTAGACCACGTTGCTGCTTCTTGAACACAGGCACGCTTACGGATCCCCGACAATAAGTGTACTTCTCAACCTGAAGGCGGTATTCGACTCCGTTGGTCGAGAAGTCGTACGACAATTTCTTTCACTGAAAGGCGTGCGGAGTAACTACATCACCTTATTGAAGGCTCTCTAGTCGAACATTTGTTGGCATGTTAGAGCCTATGGTGAGATGTCTGAGGCGCTGTACCCATCAAGTGGTGTCTGTTAAGGCTGCCCACTGGCTCCATTCTTATTCACTTTTATGTAGGTCTCCTTCCCGTCACATGACTACACAGACGTTGACCTAGTCACAGAGAATTTTCGTTAGACCTACAATACACAGATAACGTAATCCTGTTAGGTGAAGACGCCAACAACATACAGAGTCTCCTAGACACCTTGAATGACAATTTGACAATGTTTGGAATGAATTTCTCGCCACACAAGTGCAAATTGTTGCTCCAGGATTGGTCTTCAACGGTGCCACAGCTAACAATAGAGAGTGAAGTGTTCGAGTGTGTTGACCACTTCTCTCACTTGGGAAGTAGTATCATCCCCGGTGCATTGGTCAGTGGCCGACGAAATCTCTGCACGAATACAAAAGACTTGTGTGAGTTTTTCCGCCTGACGTCACTTGTGTCGCCACCGTGAAATCCAATTGTGTATTAAGGGTGGGGTGTGTAGTGGACAGCAGTTCGCTCTATTCTACTGTATGGCTGTGAAAGATGGCCATTGAGTGTGGAAGAGATGAGAAGTCTGGCTTGAGGTGTTTGACCACCATTGCCTTTGTGGTACATGCTGCGTTTTGTGTTGTCATCACGTGGGTAACGCTGAAGTGAGACGACAAGTTTTAGGGAGAGAGAGAGAGAGAGAGAAGGTAAGTCAGTTAACGACATTGTGAACCTTGATTGACTGAGATGGGTGGTTGAGATTGGACATGTGTTACGTATGCCTAGTCACCGATTGGCTGGTCAGATAATGTTGGCTGAAGTAGGTTCAGTCTGGAATAGGGTTTGGTGTGGTCAGAGTAAAACATGTGTGAAGTGTGACTGTTGGTTTGAGGTATGTAAGACAATGTGTACTAGGCTGTTGAGGTCCTGATGACTAGAGAACTGCTGGTTGGAGACTCTCAGTGATATGGTTCAGAACTGAAGTCAGCGAAGGTTATGTATCAATAAAATACGATCGGTAGACAGATCAATGTAGAATCTGGTTCAGAATTGGATCATTTCAACTTGCATATTCTATTGCAGAATTTAAAGAAGAACTGAATCGAAGAAGAGTGATATTAAGGTAGATAAAATGAAGATAATGGAAAGGTGTATATATCTGCGTCATTATGACCAACTTCGTACCTTATGAATATAAGAGCCTCTAATCATTGATTTTCCTATTGTCTTTATCGCCTCAGTCAGACAATTTACACCTCTTCATAAGTACTTCTCAAGTAAAATCTTTGACAAGGATATTTCAGATAGCTAACTTGAGAATTACACTTTTCTATCAGACACTTTATCCATCAATGTGTTGGGGACAGAATATTACTTTGGTTTATGTAGGGCAACTTACACTGACTGTACATGATGTCAACTCCTTAAACGTATTTTGATATATTCTTCAGCTTGGTTAACTAGAGAAGACAAAAAGAAAACAAAAAAGATGTCAACAGTGTTTTATTCTGAACAATTGACTCCTCCTAGACGAATCATCGATGATTTATAATCTAAAATCTTCATCTCTATGTTCTCAGACGCCACATGCCAAGTAAATTCACAATGGGAAGCTCAGTGATGCCTTTTAAGGGAAGTGAAGAAAGGAGTGAAACAAGGTTGCCTACTATCACCCATGATATTCATGATTGTGGTAGACTGGACTGGATCATCCAGCAAACAGTGCGGAGCGAGAAGAGGGGGATACGCTGACTGTTCGACCGATGAAAAGAACCTAGAAGATCTGGATTTCGCCAGTGATGACTTGTGCCTCATGTCTTGTCACACAAACTTGAAGATCAATAGGCGAAAACTAACAAGTCGGCAGAAGAGGCAGGGCAGGACAGGGCAGGGCAGCGAGGTGAGACGGGACTTCAAGTGAATATAGAGAAGACAGAGAGAAGTGATGAAGATACCGCACCAACACCACCAACAACAACAACAAACTCCAATCACCATCAATGGGAGAAACTTAAAGGAAGTAACCTCGTTCACCTATCTAGGAAGCACTATTACAACTACAGGCAACACAGGCACAGACGAGGATGTCAAAGCCAGTCAGAATCGGAAAGACAGCAAGACAGGCGTTCATTAGCCTGAAACCGGTGTGGAGATCTTCTGCACTGCACTTCACTCAGCATAAAGCATGAACAACATCAAGATTTTCAACACCAATGTCAAGTCAGTGCTTCTGTGTGATGGTTGAGAAACTTGGCACGTCACTAAAGGCATTTCCAATAAACTACAGACATTCATCAACAACTGCTTACGCTCACTCGCTACTGAAAGAATAAGCAACAAGGAGCTCTGGGAACGAACCAACGAACGAAGAACCTATCACGCAACAAATATGCACTGGAAGGAAGTGGAAATGGATTGGGCATACACTGAGAAGGTCGATTGGGGACATCACGCGTCAGGCCAGTTACTCGAGTGGAATCCCCATGGGAAGCGACGAGTTGGGCGTGTGTGCCGAGGGTGAAATGGAGGAGATGGTGTGAGGAAGAAATGAGAGCTTCTGGGCTGTTATGGAGCCAGGTTGAAAAGATTGGGGAGAACAGAGTTCACTGGAGACATGCTACTGAAGCCCTATGTTCCATTAGGAACCCAAGGGACTAATAATAATAAATGTTTCCAAACATCCAATGCATTCATTAGCCAAGGAGATAGTAAACTTACTGTTTCCTATTCTACTTTGTTTAAAGTGTGATGGTTATATAAGAATAACCGTTTTCGAGCTGGAGTAAAATTTATCGATCAAAGGAGCATTATACACACACACACACACACACACACACACACACACACACACACACACCCTTTATATGTATTTCATTTGAATTATTCTACAAACTATCGATAATTGAAGCATTCCATTGAATTATTTCACTACTTATTCCTCTCTTTATTTCACATAGGCATCATAATTTCAATCAAACTGACGGAGAGTCAGTTTATTCATATTTTAGTCAACAAGATATGAATCAACCTGGTCCACATCAACATTTGAATCCATTACCAGAAGAAAATCAAGTATGCCTTCATTCTGTTGTATATGTCTAAATTGTAATCTGCTGAGATTAATATGAGTATTTCTTAAGAGATTTTTCTTTTGCCTTTAAGTTCTCATATTGTTATCGTGTTCATTGACACTAATTGGCTGTAATTAGAAGATTGACCAATAAAATCAGCGTTGAACCTCATACATAGATGCCATGTTTTAATCTGACCATCCCGAACCCTTTTTCAGCCTGAACCTGCTTCCGCTAATATTGTGTAACGATACAGACGGTGGTTAGGCATACATGACATATATCTCAACCATCTTAGTCGATGAAAGTTCACAACAGCATCAACTGTCTTACATCTCCTCTCTGAAACTCTATGCTTGACTTCAGCGTTACGTACGTGGAAAAATAACGACATACAGCTTTTGTTACGAAGGCAATGGTGGTCAAACACCTCAAGCCAGCCTTCTCATCTCTCCCACCTTCAATGGCCATTTTTCTAGCCATACAGTAGAATAGAGTGAACTGCTTTCCACTACACCCCACCCTTAATACACAATCGGGTTTCACGGTGGCGACACAAGTGGCGTCAGGCGGAAAATTCACACAAGTCTTTTGTATTCGTGCAGAGATTTCGTCGGCCACTGACCAATGCACCGAGGATGATACTACTTCCCAAGTGAGAGAAGTGGTCAACACACTCGAACACTTCACTCTCTATTGTTAGCTGTGGCACCGTTGAAGACCAATCCTGGAGCAACAATTTGCACTTGTGTGGCAAGAAATTCATTCCAAACATTGTCAAATTGTCATTCAAGGTGTCTAGGAGACTCTGTATGTTGTTGGCGTCTTCACCTAACAGGATTACGTTATCTGTGTATTGTAGGTCTAACGAAAATTCTCTCTGGAGTCATATGATGGAAAGGAGACCTCTTTAAGAACATGTATGAGAAATTTCAAAAGTAATGATGAGAATAGACTGAGTACACTCATAATAGCTGTCAACCGTGGTTTATATAACTAGCATGTATTGAAGAGGGGGGGGGGCTGGTCAGCAACAAATCGTGTTACTAGTGTATATTGTTTACAATATAATACCATTTCATTCCTTTTTAGGCATGTTTACAATTTCCTAGTTTGTTTCATTTACTTACCATGCCAAGAAATAATTGTCGACAGAAGAGATAGGGGAGAAGAAGACAACGTACAGAAAGTTTTTTGGTAGCAAATTATCTCATTAAATTATAGTTAGAAAAAAGTTTTCTTCCTTGGTAATAATGAATATATAAGTTTTATAAAAGTAGACATCGATTGGTTGACCTTTTTTCATTGTTTATTGAAAAAAAAAAATAATTGCAAATAATTACACCATAAATCAATTTAATGGTTACATTGAACTTCCTTTGTTTTTGTCGATTATTGTATAAAAATATGCATATCCTTTAAATCACTTTCACTACAAGTGTTATTTTATTTTCTGCTTTTATGTATAAACATAAAACAATCAATAATTATCTATTCGTTATATTGTAGTTGATTTGATAGCTAGCTGTGGAATCGAATACGCGGATTTCGTCCTATTTATTATATTATTATCATTAGTCCCTTGGGTTCCTAATGGAACATACGGCTTCAGTAGCATGTCTCCAGTGAACTCTGTTCTCCCCAATCTTTTCAACCTGGTTCCACAACAGCCCAGAAGCTCTCATTTCTTCCTCACACCATCTCCTCCATTTCACCCTCGGCACACACGCCCAACTCGTCGCTTCCCATGGGGATTCCACTCGAGTAACTGGCCTGACGCGTGATGTCCCCAATCGACCTTCTCAGTGTATGCCCAATCCATTTCCACTTCCTTCCAGTGCATATTTGTTGCGTGATAGGTTCTTCGTTCGTTGGTTCGTTCCCAGAGCTCCTTGTTGCTTATTCTTTCAGTAGCGAGTGAGCGTAAGCAGTTGTTGATGAATGTCTGTAGTTTATTGGAAATGCCTTTAGTGACGTGCCAAGTCTCTCAACCATCACACAGAAGCACTGACTTGACTTCACTGAATTGGTGTTGAAAATCTTGATGTTGTTCATGCTTTATGCTGAGTGAAGTGCAGTGCAGAAGATCTCCACACTGGTTTCAGGCTAATGAACGCCTGTCTTGCTGTCTTTCCGATTCTGACTGGTTTTGACATCCTCGTCTGTGCCTGTGTTGCCTGTAGTTGTAATAGTGCTTCCTAGATAGGTGAAGGAGGTTACTTCCTTTAAGTTTCTCCCATTGATGGTGATTGGAGTTTGTTGTTGTTGTTGTTGTGGTGGTGGTGCGGTATCTTCATCACTTCTCTCTGTCTTCTCTATATTCACTTGAAGTCCCGTCTCACCTCGCTGCCCTGCCCTGTCCTGCCCTGCCTCTTCTGCCGACTTGTTAGTTTTCGCCTATTGATCTTCAGTTTGTGTGACAAGACATGAGGCACAAGTCATCACTGGCGAAATCCAGATCTTCTAGGTTCTTTTCATCGGTCGAACAGTCAGCGTATCCCCCTCTTCTCGCTCCGCACTGTTTGCTGGATGATCCAGTCCAGTCTACCACAATCATGAATATCATGGGTGATAGTAGGCAACCTTGTTTCACTCCTTTCTTCACTTCCCTTAAAAGGCATCACTGAGCTTCCCATTGTGAATTACTTGGCTGGTATGTGGCGTCTTCATATAGTTGTTGAATGAGGCTGGTAAAAGTTTGCGGTACTCCGTAGTATTGAAGCAGTTTCCAAACTACCTCTAGGTCGACGCTGTCAAAGGCGTTTTCAAAGTCGATAAAGTTGAGGTGTAGAGTTGTCTGCTATTCTTACTCTCATTGTGATACCTCTTCTCGTTTGCAATCTGGGCTGCCTTGCTGGATTCAAACATGGTGCAGACATTCCGTGTCCCCACGTTTACTTTCGCTTTCATCGAGAGACGACACATCGGCCCGGCTAATTGGCTTCCCGAAGGCTTTACCAACTGACGTCATTTCGCCTCTCTGATTCAAGCGAGGAATAATTTTGTTATTATTTTTTATATTTTGTTTGTGCTTTGAAGTTTCTTTAGCGGTTGGATTGGTTTTACTGCGTGGAGTTGCTAGACCTATGCCCAACCTTCCTTCTTTACCCGGGCTTAGGACTGGCTAGTAACTAGTGAACTAGTTAACCAGGCGAGGTTTTCGTCCTATTTACGACTCGTTAACTGAAGTGATGTCGAGGCGACATGTGATTGCACTTAGCAATCTTGTGCACATCCGCACAATAGGCAGTAGGCTAAATCTAATATGTGAGGGTGAATAATACTACCTGGCTTCTCAAACCTCAGTAGGTGAAGTGGGACTCGAACCCATGACTCATCATAAGTCAATGATCCACAGGTCCTTGTTGTTCCCTTCTAAAACTGGAATCGCTTCAAACGCCAAAACATTATGCACTAAACCATCGGGGTTCGACAGCTTAGTGGATCACACTTAGGAGTTTTAAGTGACGAATTTGAGTCTCAGTGGAAACAGCATCACTCACTAGGTGTGTGTGGGGGGGATACATCCAGCTGACAAGTCCTTACAAGAACGAAACGCTCGTCTTGGATTCCACTGCTAGTCACCAAGAGGAATGCAACATAATGAGGTTGCTTTCTTTGAACTAGATTGTTTAATTGTGGAGGAAATACAAATAGTGCTAGAGAATTTGTAAAAGCTTGACATTCGGTTCAATCAGTAATCAACAGACATTGACATTAACTCAATCGATAAACCGATAGGAAACAACAAGAAGCTCATCAGGACAACCAATCAAAATAAACATGGAGGCAATGACAAGACCTTGGCAGAAACAACCAATTACATACAAGGTCATTGGGACAAACTACCAAATAAATAAATTACAGGAAAAACCTTATTGCTCACTTCTTTTTCTGAAGTTTATGCTGATAATTTCGTGTCTAGAATGACACTGAATGCTGTATGATTAAACACGCTACCCCAGAGAACACAACTCTGTCATAGTTATCCCCCTGAGCTACAAGTATTCTCCATCATCTTAGAATACAACATCATGAATATCGAGGCAATATCGAGACAACCGCATAAGAGGCCCATCCACCAAAAGAGGTCCAGTAATCCGACTCACTATAACAATAGGAAATTACAAGTATCAATGGACAATTATCAGTCCAGTTTATTATGTTTCGCATTGTTCTGTATGTTGTTTCGTGTTGTGTTATTTTGACATAAAAACAAGAGATTGAGAAGGGACCAAAAGGAAGGGAAGATTGATTCACCTGATGAATTTATATTTTCTTCTTTCTATTAAGATGAATAATCAAAGTGAAAATGGTCCAGGATTTGTTGATTCTGGTATACAGACTGCTGATATGAATGGCGGTGCTGCGACAGTAGCTGTAGGTACGACTACTGAAAGTGGTAGTCCAGCTACAGGTGGTAGTCATCGTCATCATCGTCGTAGAAGACGTAAACAATCACAACAACAGTCACAAACATTATCACAACAAGAACGTCAACCTGAAGATTTATCTGGTGGTTCTGATGCACTTCACAATTTCAATCCAGATGATGGTGTTATTAATGGTGGCAGTAGTGGTATGGAGCGTCTACAGAATCAATGTCAATCGACTCATGATTCACAAATGGTAAATTTTATTTTGAAATTTTTATAGAAATGAACTGATTTAAGTGTTCTTCTAATGTTGGTAAATCTTTATGTGAGAAAGAAAGAGAGAGAGAGAGAGGGATAAAGGGAAAGAGAGATCGAACCTGAGTATTTGATCGTGATAGTTTCACACTGTATGGATATGACCCGTTAGTGTACACAGTTGTATTCTAAATATGGTTCCTTTTGTTTAGAGACAAGTTGAACTGATGTATTGAATGTCATTTTCACTTGTCACGAAAATCAAATATGAGAAAACGAAGATGGAATAGAAGGGGGGGGGAAGTAGTGATAACCTTAAAATTCTTTGTACCGCAATTGATATGCAAAAGAGATCTACTACAGTTGTATGAAATCGAAATGAAACAAACGACTACTTCTTAGCATAAAAGATGTACAGTTCCAATTTAATAACCAAGTTTTATAAACAGATTGATGTGGTGGCGATGGGTTCACCTCTATGACCTGTCCTAGCGTGTACCTGATTTCAATCATCAATGGAACAACCTGTCACCTATCGTAGGTATGTTGATGACACCTTTGTTGTTTGTAATAATATAAAACATACAAGTGAGTTGTTTGAGAATATATAGCACACAATGATATAGTATTATTAGCTTAGAATGAAATTACATCCTACCATCACAATGCTGAAGTTTTACACTTACATTAGTAATTGTTTAATATGCTCAATGTAGCTAAACTTCTCATTAAAATTGACCATAGAATGTGAGCATAAAAATGAGTTCAATTCTTTTTGGAAATCTTTGTGAGTAGAAAAATTGATGATTAGATTGAAAAGATCATTCGTAATAAAGATACATGAACTAGACTATACCTTAACAACTATGACAGTTTCTGTCCTGATAGCTGTAAGCGTAGGATTAGTCAAGATACATTACAACACAGCTAGGAAATTATGTTCTGTGGTCAAAATTGGAGGAAAAGTCAAATTTTATTTACAAATATCTCCGAAAAAGAATGGATATCCTAAGAGATTTATTATGAGGTATAGTAAAGAACAGATCGAGAAAGATAAACACCTAGGGATAGGCAGTATCCTAGCTAAATAGACATAAGAATCAAAGGATCACTGAGAAGAAGCTTTCCTGCAGCTAAAATTGTATTAGTGTACAATACCACAATCTCCCTAAACTAGCTTGAGAGAAGAGCATCCATTCTGTTCGCTTAGCATATCTGTGCCTAAAGTGAAATAAGATTCTAATCAGTACAATTGCAAGACACCTTGTAGGCTGAATATATCAGCTTGAAACACTGAATGCTTTTAAAATATAGTTTCATCCTGTTTCATTTTCATTACACAACTCTTTGTTTATTTGTTTTTTTTATTATTATTTGTCCCTCAGGTTCCTAGTGGAACATAGGACTTCAGTAGCACGTCATCATTTCACTTTGTTCTCTGCAGTCTTTCTAACCTGGCCCCATGACTCCTCATAAGCTCCCATTTCTTCCTCACACAATCTCCTCCATGTCACCCTCGTCTCGAACGCCTAATTCATCGTTTCCCATTTGTGTTTCACTCGATTGCCCGATACATGATGTCCGCAAACGGTCTTCTCAGTCTATGTTCAATCCATCTGCATATTGTTGAGCGATAGGTTTTTGATTGGTTGGTTCATTGCCAGGTCAAAGTTCCTCCTTGCTTAATCTTATTATCTCCATCTTCAGTATGAAGCGAACGTAGGCGGTAGCTGTTGATGAACGTCTACAGTTTGTTGGAAATGCTTTCCGTAATGCGCCAAGTCTCTGAACCATATATAGAAGCACTGACTTGACATTCGTGTTGAAAATCCGGATCTTGTTCTTTGTGCTGAGTTCAGTCCAGCAAATCTCCACACTGATTTCAGATTGATGAAGGCCTATCTTGCTATCTTTCCGATCCTCTCTTTGACATCCCCATGTCTGTCGCCGCTTATAGTTGAAACGATGCTGCCTAGGTAGGTAGACAGCTGAAAAAGAGAACTTCCTTTAGATTTCTCCCATTGATCGTGATTGGTGCTTGTTGTTGTTGTTGTCGTTGTTGGTTGAGTATTTTCATCACCTCTGTCTTCGCTACCTTCATCTGAAGGGAGTTCTATGTTCGCTGTCCTGCCTCTTCTGTCAACTTGTTAGTTTTCTCCTGTAGGCAACCTTATCTTACTCCTGTCTTCACTTCCCTTAAAAGACATCACTGGGCTTTCGATTATGAATCACTTGGTATGTAGCATCATATAGCATATAGCTGCTGTTAAATGGGATTGATAAAGGTTTGTGGCACTAAAACCTTAGTTTTGAAGCAGCTGCCAAATTACTTGTCGGTCGACGCTATCGAATGCGTTTCCAAAGTGGATGAAGTTGAGGTGTAGAGTTGACTGCGATTCTATGCTCCGTTCTATGATGATACGTAGCCGTAGCGTTGCGATTTAATCCGCACATGATTTGTTCTTCGTGAAGCGAGACAGCCTATTCCGATCGTAATTTTGAATCCAGGGCATTTCTGAGTCTCTCCACATTGACACTGCCTAATATTTTGATTGGGGTGGAGGACAGCATGATTCTTCACCAGTTCTTGCAAAGGCTTAGGTCTCCCTTCGTAGGAAGTTTGACAAGATAGCCCTCGTTCATCCACTCGGCAGGTAGCCTTCCTTTCACACCTTCTGCAGTAATAGTGTGAGCATGTCGACTGTTGTCTCTGTGTATGTTTTCAGTGCTTCCGTCGGAATTCTATCTGATCCTGCTGCTTTCCCGATTTTCAGTAACTTTATGGCATTCAGGACTTCTACCTTTGTCGAAGAGGTTTGTGTTCACTGATAGTTGTGTGCAGCTGATGAGTATTCAGTGAAATAAAAATGCTATCATTTTATTCTACAAATTTTGTCCTTTTTGCTTTGTTTCAAAATCATCATAGTTATCCAGTGTTTACATAGTCATATGAAGTTATTTAATCATCTGATGATGATGATGATGATGACCTTACACTTGTGAACCAGCAAAAAAGCATGAAGTGAATCATTCCTCTATTTCAATAGTTTGTGTTCTATGAGTTATAAGTGGTTACTAGTTGAAACATTCTCATAGGGTTAAGAAACTTTGTTCATCATACAAAGTGACTGAAGAAATTCAGTCTGTCAAGATATGTTTGAAATGAAATGGTTCCCCTGAAAAATGTGTAGATTAATTTAAAATGAGACTAGTGAAAATAATTGAACTTAGTAATCCTGAGAAGAAACCTGTGTTTCTTTATCTAACTTTGAAGAGAGAACATCTGATAAACAAGGTTAATAGAAGAATAAAACATCGCACTTAAAATTACTTTATCACATCAATTAAATTAGTCTCGGTATACAAAAAACTAATTGTCCAGTACTACAATCGAAAGTCGATAGGTTTTCACTTCAAATTGTATTCATCAATTCATATGTACATCTCAGAGGATATAGATTAGAAGGACTAAGTGGGAGGATTGAAACTTGAATTCATGAAGACATTTCGAAGAATTTCAGTTTTGCTAAACCCCCTCTTATGAATATATTATTCGACGTCCAGATATCTCTGGAACGGAATGATGCCAATCAATTAAGATTGAGAGAATTTGTGCAGCCGAATTAAGCAGTTTTTAGCCTGCTACCCTCCCCCTCTCCCCTTTTGCTAAACTTTTATGTTTTCATCCTCTTTCTATGATTGGTGTTATCGTTGGTCACCTCAAGGTGAACTATCAACTCTAGACAATATGGCAAACATAACAACTACTGAACAACTTGAGTTGTTGAGAATCACTTAGACTAATCTGTAGATTTCACTAGCTAGTCAGATTAGAGTGATATCAAGCATTGATTGGTTGTTTCGCTTGTTTGAGACGTAGCCAGCTTATTGGCCGTGTCTCTGGATAAATTTCTCTCATAGAATCGAATTAGTTCAGACCTCCGAGATCTGTCTAGAGGTGTATACCTAAATATACAATGATCAATTAGTAAATTATTTACAAGAAGTCATGAAATTTTATTACAATTAGGCTTTAATACTTCATCAACTGACCTACTTCCTAATGCTCACATGCTTATCACTGATGGTTACACTACAGTTGACCAAGACATCAGTTAGTTCCTACTATTCACCTTCTTCAGTTGTATGCTACAGTCATGTTATGCTATTGTACTCTGAATGTTTGACAATCAGTCAAAATCTACTTAGCTCATTTGTTAATGAGAGAGTGTTACAGTTTGTTAATTGAAATTCCAAGGTGTTGAATTCTTTGCTACTGAAGTTAGAATGAATTTTTTTGTGTTCAGAATCACACAGGAACCATGATTTTGTATACACTAATTTATTATTATAATATTATTTGTCCCTTGGGTTGCTAGTGGAACATATGGCTTCAGTAGCAGGTCTCCACTGCACTCTGTTCTCCCCAATCTTTTCAACCTGGCTGCACGACACCATCTCCTCCATGCTAGTCTGGGACACCCAACTCGCCGTTTCCCATCTGGGTTCCACTCGAGGGTGTGGCCTGGAGCGTGGTGTCCCCAATCTACCTTCTCAGTGCATGCCTAATCCATCTCCACTTCCTTCCAGTGCATATTAGTTGGGCGATAGGTTCTTGCTTCGTTGGTTGCAGTGCAGTGCAGAAGATCTCCACACTGGTTTCAAGTTAATAAACGCCTGTCTTGCTGCCTTTCCGATCCTGGCTGGTTTTGACGTCCTCATCTGTGCCTGTTCCGCCTGTAGTTGAAACAGTGCTTCCTAGATAAGTGAAAGAGGCTACCTTGTTTAAGTTTTTCTCATTGATGGTGATTGCAGCTTGTTGTTGTTGGTGGTGTTGGTTGGGTATCTTCATTACCTCCCTCTGTCTTCTCTACGTTCACTTGAAGTGCAGTCTTCGCTTCTCTGCCCTGCCTCTTGTGTCAATTTGTTGGTTTTCGCCTGTAGATCTTCAAGTTTGTGTGATAAAATGTTGCAGGATGTTTTCCGCGGTCTAGCCAGCGTATCCTCCTCTTCTCGCTCCTCACTGTTTGTTGCATGATACAGTCCACTGCAATCAGGAATATCATGGGGGATAGTAGGCAACCTTGTTTTACTCCTTCCTGTCTTCACTTCGCTTAAAAGGCATCACTGAGCTTTCCATTGTGAATCACTTGGCATGTGGCGTCTTCATGTAGTTGTTGAATGAGATTGATAAAGGCTTGTGGTATTCCGTAGTGTTGAAACAAGTGTCAAAGTAACTCTCGGTCGACACTGTCGAAGGCCTTTTCAAAGTGGATGAAGTTGAGGTGTAGAGTTGACTGCCATTCTATACTCTGTTCTATAATGTTGCGTAGAGTGGCGTTGCAATTTGGTCCGCACATGATTTGTACTTCCTGACTGCAACTAGCCTATTCCGGTCGTAGTTTTGAATCCTGTGCCTCCTTTAGTGTCTCCAGGATGATGCGGCCTAATATTTTGCTTGCTTTGGGTGGACAGGAGCGCGATTCCGTGGTAGTTCTTGCAAACACTGAGGTTTCCTTTCTTCGGGAGTTTGACATGGTAGCCCTTCTTCCAATCGCCAGGTACCTTCCAGACCTTCTGCAATATCTGTACACTAATACTCAAATGGAAATAGAAGAGTTGTTTCCATCCCTTCTCATATGCATATGTATTGCTTCATCATCATAAAATCTCGGTTCTATGGTTTACTCAAGAGTTTTGTTGATGATACTTATTTCTAGAAATACTCATATTTAGAAAATATGACCACTCCTCGAGTTTTCTATTCATGATGAAACTTGGTCTTATGGCTCTGAGATTGTATAACTTTGTTACTTCTCGAGTAAATAGATTTTCGCTTACACGTTGTGAAAGGTGACTCGCTCTCTCGCTCCCCCCTCGCCCTTTACAATATCTTTTTTTCGTTCTTGTTCAACGTCTATAACAGGATTTGGGACTTCAGAAACGACAGCATACTCTATCTCCAGGACCATTTTCTGATACAGATCCTTCTATGTCTGGTCAATCTAATCTACCTGGTCTTCATTCGTATCCACATGGTAATGGATCAATGGAACCTCCATCTATGTCAAGATATGTTCGTTATGGTAAGTTATAAGTTGCGTTTCAAGTTGTACTAAACTTATAAATTATAACATGTAATCTTTTATAAAATATAAGTTTTCATATTGGTTGCACGCAGAACCTCACACATAGCCGCATCGGCTCAAGTTACCACACTTCACGGTAGTAGTACACAAAGAACAACTGGATGGAATAAAATGGATTTCAAAGTAGATAGAGCTGTATGACATTGCAAACAATTTGAAGATAAAGGTTAGTACAAAGGAGTGAATACATCTACAGCATCGTGACCGACTTTCAGTTATGTCATCAAGGGTCCTCAACCACTGATTCCTTTCGTATCGAGGACCTCAACCAGGCAGTCTACATCCGTCCCACACGACTAAGATCACTAGTCAGCGATTGCATGGACTGGTGCAGGATCTTGGTCTTGCATAGGTTTCGCCTTTGGTGGTTATACTTTAATACGCTACATTGTCGATGGATTCTTCTTTTGTACATTATTATTATTATTTGTCACTTGGGTTCCTAGTCGAACATAGGGCTTCCGTAGCAGGTCACCATTTCACTCTGTTCCCTGCAGTCTTTCTAACCTGGCTCCATGACTGCCCAGAAGCTTTCATTTCTTCCTCACACGATCTCCTCTATGTCACCCTTGCCTCGGAGGCCCAGCTCGTCGTTTCCCATTTGGATTCCACTCGAGGGTCTGACCTGGCGCATGATATCTCCGGATGGTTTCCTCAGTGTACGCCCAATCCATCTCCACGTTTTTCTGCATAATGGCTGGACGATAGGTTCTTGCTTCGTGACTTGCTTCCAGATACATATCACAAAGCTCTAATGAGAAGCCGTGACCTGTGAGGTCAACCAAACCAGTCGGAAGTGAAGTGGATGCTAACTGAAGACCTTGGGTGACAGTCGAGCTATGTCGTGAATTGACAAAGTTGGAAATTGTGAACCACTGGAAACCGATCTAGTGGCTGAATAGTTGACGTGTTCGCCGTGAAACCTGAACGTCGTGAGTTCCATTCCTAGCCGGGCCGTGGTGCGTACTGCTCAGGAGTCTCATACTAGGATGAAACAGGTGTTCAGTGCTCTCAGATTTTCAATGGTTCCCCAACTGATGTCAGTCCATGATGAATACTACTTCTAAATTTTAAAAAATCCCCATTCATTTCAAAAATACTTTAAGAAAACTTGTTTGTGAAAGTTTCATGCATTGTTCAATGACACTTTCTTTCTGTTTTACCTTAAGATTCACCTCAACGTGCTCCATCTGTTTTGGGTCAATTGCCACCGCCCAATCAACCTCCACCTCCACCTCCTCCACCAGCTGTAGCTGCTATGGCGTTTGCATCAAATATGAATAGTTCAGATCATAGTCATCATAATTCAATGACCTATCAACATCATCATTTCAATCCAGACTCCTTGTCGCGTCATAATGGTGGTGGTGGTGGTGGTAGCAGTGGTTCCGGTGTTTATCATCCATCAGGTTCTGGTACTGGTCTACTAGTTGGTCCACCACCTCGTATACGTGATTATTCTGAATACGGTATCCCTAGAGGTATTGGTTTACCGCCTACTCCAGCTGGAGGTGGAGGTCAACCTCAACCACCACAACATAATGTTATCATGTCATCCAGTGGAAATAACAATAATGGAAATATATATTATGATGGTCATTATCGTGAAGGACAAGCCTAAATCCACTATATTCTCTGTGTCTATCAATATGATTAACCCTTTCTCTTGATCATCATCTTTTCTCCCCGTTTCTTCATCATCTCATGATGCTTTTATATTCATATCCAACCATAGAAGTTCATGGCCACCGCGTTTCAAGCTTACCCGGCTTGTCCTAGGTTACAATATGATTATTACTATGCATTGAATTGATATGACATTGCATGATCCATTTGCTTTTTCTTTCACTTCTATATCGTTTTTGTTTTTTCTTTTTTTAAATGTTCCTTACTCTTGTTTATCTTTCTTTCCATTTTTTCTGCCTTATCAATCAAAAGTATAAAAAAAAAAATAATTTCAGGTTTTACACTTAATATATATGACAATCATTCTCTGTATGTTGTCGATCTCATAACAATCAAATTTCATTTTCTTATTTAATTATTGTATATTTAGTTATTTATTGTTTATGAAGAGATTGGATCAAAGCAGCTGGATACCTTTCTCTTTTTTTTGTATTTGTTTTATTCCCCCCCTCCCCTCCTTTTTTTTCGGAGTCTGTTCATCTTTATACTTTTTTTTCATTGTCGATTGTATTCAGTATTTAGGGGGGGGGGGTATAACACGTTGTTTATTAGGCTTTTTGTGTCAAAGAATTCGCTGTCACCATCATCATCATCATCTAGTATGTACAGTCAATGTTTGTTTTGACCGCTTCATTTTATTTCTCTCTCATATACACACTACTCACAAGTGGTATTAGTAGTATGATTATATAAGTAGTTATTATTAATATCTTGTTTTTTCTGTTTTGGGCCAATTTTGCATGTATTCTTGATTAATTAGTTTTATCCTTTCTATTACAGAAAAAAAAATCTTGTTTTTTTATCTCTCTATGTATTATTCTACCGGTTAGTTATATATCTACTTGATTGATTCATTTAATGAAAAAGGAGAGAGGAGAGGGATAAGTATTGTAATTTGTACAGAGGTAAGTATTTGTTTACTATGACTAAATCTTATTTGTTTCAATATAATAATGATAAAGGATTGATATTCAATGGGTTATATATCATTTTACCTGATATGCCTTAATTATTTATTTGCTTTGCTCCATCGTTATACATATATATATATATATATATATATATATATATTAATATATATATATATACAGAGAGAGAGAGAGAGGCGTTATCTTGCTTTTCGATGTTCACAGAGGTGGTGAAAAAATTCATTGGAATATAATTATCCTTTATAATCTGTGTAATTTCCAATTGCCTTTACATGCTTGTATGTTCAGACCTCGAATAATAAGTCGTAGATGGATGAGGGAACAGGAGAAACAAAGTATTCCCGGTTTTTATCTCCAATTGCCTGTTAGAAGACTTGTTACATCATTACCACTATATGATAATCGTAATTGTATGCAACAGTAAAAGTATATCTTGCTTTTATCTTTTCTTTTCATATATCTATATATAGTGTTCTTGTTTTTCTCAGAAATCTTTGGCGGTATAGTTTGAAGAGATTTTAATTTTTCACTGCTTTCTTTCTTTTAGTCTGTTTATCCGATGATAATTGAATGCTTAGACTTGGAATTGTCGTGTATACGCTGCTTTTTTTCTTTCTTCTATGCCAGTTGTTGTTTCTCTTTAAACTTTAATTTTCACCATTTTTATTCCTATTGTACCTACCTATCATCACTAATAATCATAGTAATACTGATATAAATCATGCATTATTGTGTTGATTGTAAAGTCTTTAAATAGAACAAGACGTTCACCCTCGATTACAACATTGATACAGAATGATGGTTATTTATGCAAACAAACTAAAATGACCGAGTGATTCTAACGCTATGAGACACTGGGTTCCTAGTGGAACATAGGGCTTCACTAGCGCGCCTCCATTGCACTCTGTTCTATTCAGTCTTTTGAACTTCATTCCACGACTCCCCAGAAGCTTTCATTTCTTCCTCACATGATCTTCTGCATGCTCAACTCTTCGTTTCCCTTTTGGATCCCACTCGAGGGTGTAGCCTGGAGCGTGATGTCCCCAATTGGCCTTCTCAGTGTATGCCCAATCCATCTCCACTCCCTTCTGCATATTTGTTGGGTGATAGCTTCTTGGTTGGTTCGTTCCCAGAGTTCCTTGTTGCTTATTCTCATTATTTTGGCCATCTGATCTTCAGTATGGAGTGAGCGTGGTCGGCAGCTGTTGATGAATGTCTGCAGTTTGTTGTAAATGCTTTTCGTAATGCGCCGAGTCTCTCAACCATCACATGGAAGCACTGACTTACTTGACTGAATTAGTGTTGAAAATCCGGATATTGTTCCACATGCTGAGTGCAGTGCGGTAAATCTCCACACTGATTTCGAATTGATGAATGCCTGTTTTGCTATCTTTTCGATCCTGGCTTTGACATCCTCATGTCTGCCGCCGCTTGTAGTTGAAACGATTCTGCCTAGTTAGGTAGACAGGTGAAAAAGAGAACTTCCTTTAGATTTCACCCATTGATGGTGATTGGTGCTTGTTGTTGTTGTTGTTGTTGGTTGAGTATTTTCATCGCTACCTTCATGTGAAGGGAGTTCTATGTTCGTTGTCCTGCCTCTTCTGTCAACTTGTTAGTTTTCGCGTGTAGATTTTCGAGTTTGTGCGACACAATACACTAGACATAAGGCATCATCGGTGAAATCCAAACCTTCTAGGGTCTTTTCATCGATCAAACAGCCAGCGTCTGCTCATCTTCTCACAGCTCCTCACAGTTTGTTGTATGATCGAGTCGACCAGAATCAGGAAGATCATTGGTGATAAGTAGGCAACCTTATCTTACTCATGTCTTCACTTCAAAGGCGTCATCGGGCTTTCATTGTAGATGACTTGACATGTGACGTTTTCATTTAGCTATTGAAGGAGGTTGATAAAGATTTGTGGCACTCTGTAGTGTTGAAGCAACTGCCAAAATCCACTATAAAGAAGACTGTTTATTCGACAAAAATGCATCATTTCTACATAGTTTTCATGAACATATGAAACCACTGGGTCAACAGTTAAATAGCTTATGTTGATTGGTCAACTGAAGGACAAAATTGTCCTATAAGATTTTCCTTGACCATACGTTGACATGAAACAAAAATTGCAGTATAAAAACATCCACAATCCAATAAGAAACTCATTTTTCCATCATTTCATTTTATTGTCATGAGGATTAATCTTCATGCATACTGTGTTTTATCCGACCAGTTATACTTTAAACTGCTGAATTCCAGCAGTTACCTGCTACTTTGACATAATGGTTGCGTTCGCATATTACAATGATCGGAAGAGCTACATTGTTAGATTAATTATTTGCATGCGGTCTCAGCATACCAGGAAAGTCACTTGAATAGCGGTTCGAAAGCGAAGTATTGTTGGTTGGATGGGGATGTAACAGCAGTAAAGCGTCTCCATTTTGATGCTACCCTTTCTATGAGGAGATGTAGTTATCAAAACAGCACACTACTGATTCTCAAGCTGATATCAGGTCGTGTTGAATACCAATCTGAAAGACTAGCAAATTATTAGATTAAGGAAGAAGAGTGAAGGGAGACCGGTTGATTAAGTATACACTAAAATCCTGATGATGGATTTTTCGCTTAGAAACCCATAGAAAGTTATTTATTTCTTGAATCTGATTTAATTTATTCCTCTGACCAGATGTCCCGGTTTCATAACATTAGGTTAACAGGAATGACTTTCAGTAAGTTGGTTCGTGTAAGCATTCAGCCCACACAATCTAAAGGTTTTGAGTTCGATCCCTAATCGGGCATGGGTCCCTACTGCTGAGGAATCCCATACTAGAACGAAATAGATGTCTAGTGCTCTCAGGTTTCCAATGATTCTCCAACTGATGTCACTCCGTGATGAATACTACCTCAAAATTATTTATTTGCTAGAGAATAATTAAACAATTGTTAAAGGTTGCATTGATTATTGGACTTGTAATTATTGTACAAGTAAGCGAATTAGAAATGCATTCATGCACTTTTCTACAATAGGCAACATCTATTATATGAGGGTAATGAGGCTTATTGGCCGTCCAAATGTCGATAAGTACGGTTGGGTTCGAACTTGTAAGTTATTGAATGAAATTTGAGTTTCTAGACCGATTAACTACAGCTTTGAGTACAAGTAAAGCACACTTCTATATGGATTGTGTATATTTTTCACTTGATACTACCATCAAATATTTCCAATTTTATGTAACTTGATAGGCATATTCCTCTTTACAAACTTGAATCGAGAAAGAATAATGCCAAGTCCTCATCAGCTGCTTACAACCTAAAAGCATTTAAATGGCATACACAAAGGAATTAAAATACACGTTTCTGCATTCACATAAAGTTATTTTACCGGGGACTACATGATATAACAAGGAATACAAACATCCAGATAAAGTTAAGCTATTGAAGTTTCACTTACATATGTGTCTCACCAGAGAGTTTGAGAAAAGAATAAGGGTAGTAATAAAAGACTACGTAAGAAGCATAACAAATCGATTACTTGATGATGATAACAACATGAGTTGAACTCTACTGGTAGAACAATCATCAAAATTGGGTACCACCATAGAAAAGGTTCAGTCAAAGATGATGTCATCAAATAAGATAATGGGTACAATATTAGGTTACCAGAGCTAAAAAGGATCATTCATTGATTCGTTTTGAAGACACAGTTCCAGTTATTTGATCGCTATGGTCTCAACGAAGTTGAAAAAGTTTGAATTATTCTCCTTGTTCATTATCTGGAAGGATTATAAGGTATCTACTTCATGCCATGTGTCGATAAGCTGCTAGCTGAGTAACTGCACTACTGATAGCAACTGTTCCCCCCCCGAGATGCAGTCTTCTTGCTACATGTTCAGAGAATCCAAAGTATTCCGTTCTGTCTGTCCTCCTATAAACTTACTGCTATCGTAGATGTACATAAACTTGTATACACAATTAGAAGTAACATGGGAATAGTATTTATCAACTTTTGGTTGCACCAAGGAGCATGTTATTCTTTAGATAGGCGGTTGGTGCACGAGAGCCACTTCTTGTAGTCTCCTGTTCATATACTGGATCAAATTGTTCGATCCCTTCCTTGTTTGAAGCGATAGCTACTGTGTTCTAATCTCATTGGGGACGATATCGGTCATTGAGTCCCAAAAAGAACAAAACGCACTTGCTACATTCCACTGCCAACTTTTTTTTCAAGTTCGATGTCACTACTAATAAGTAGTCGAGAATTCATAGGATGAAAACACTTATAGACTCTTATCAACTGTTGTTTGAATTCATTGGAATCAATTTTATTTAATTGTAAACGCTGAGGTAATTCCAATTCCAACATTAGTAAATAGGAGAGAGAGGAAAAGTCGATACACCAATTGTTACGAAATAGGTTTCATGTAAGATTAATAAATTTACGGTTTCGTCTCCTAGTTCGTCTTGTTCTATATTTGTTTGCTTATCAAATATAATATGAAGGGTAACCAAGTTATGTGTGAAGACGAATGCCCATTGATGACATTGAATGATGACTGAATAGTTTTAAAGTTAACGGATCGTAGGATTAGTTGAACAGGAATATTCTCACAGTAAGAAATGGAATAATGTATTTTGAGATGTATGGGAATTTTTTTTAATTTAGAAGTAATAATCATCATGGACTGACATCAGTTGGGGAACCATTGAGAATCTGAGAGCACTGAACACCTGTTTCGTCCTAGTATGAGACTCCTGAGCAGTACGCACCCACGACCCAGCTAGGAATGGAACTCAGGACGTTCAGGTTTCACGGCGAACACGTCAACTATTCAGCCACTAGGTCGGTTTCCAGTGGTTGACAATTTCCAACTTTTGTCAATTCACGACATAGCGTGATTATCACCCAAGGTCTTCAGTTAGCATCCACTTCACTTCCGACTGGTTTGGTTGACACCACAGGTCACGGCTTCTCATTAGAGCTTTGTGATATCCATCTGGAAGCAAGTCACTAATGAGCACTATACGGTAATGTATTTTGAGATGAATGGAGATTTTTTTAATTTAGAAGTAGTAATCATCATGGACTGACGTCAGTTGGGGAACCATTGAAAATCTGGGAGCACTGGACAGCTGTTTCGCCCTAGTATGAGACTCCTGAGTAGTACACACCCACGACCTGGCTAGGGTCGAACTCAGGACCTTCAGGTTTCACGGCGAACGTGTTAACCAACTGATGTCAGTCCATGATGAATACTACTCCTAGAAATGGAATACTTTAGTGTCAATGCTGTATATGGTTATCAGTGTAATAAGTCTTAAAACCAGGATGAAATGAATTTCAGTACTCTCTAGTTTTCACTGGTTCTTTGACTTCTATCACACTGTGATGAAAAGTGCCTTAAAATCAATGTCATCTACGAACCCATTTCCTTACTTCCTTTGTTTTCAGTGAGATTTTTTAATAATGAATTATGTGTTTTTGAGAAATATTTTGCAAATGCATACATGTAGTTTAAAAGTCCCTAATAAGCCCTCAAATAAAAGACGTTTAACAAAGAGTCACTCATATTATAGGGACGAAACTTGGGCACTGTGATCGATTGTAATTCCATTTTAGTCTGTTTATTAGAAATATCACATAGTGAAGCAACAGTGTCATTGACTGGATAACGAACGTTTCGGACACAATTTATTGTCCATATTCATATCAGGTAACTGACTCCACAACTTCAAGACAGGCTTTATATATTCACAATTTTCTCTCCTTCTCTGTGATGATAAGCGTAGTAGAATT